TAAGGATTTCTTAACAAGAAATGGAATTAAATTGGCTTTTAAGTTATTGGATAAATCACCATTATATAATTATGCTAAATTTTGTACTAGATTTTATTTCAATCATTATGATTTTCAATTGTTGGCAAATTTTTCCAACTTGGATATTTTAGAAAATAGATTATTAAATTTTATTTTAGATCATTCAGCAGTTATTAGAGAGTTTAGTACTTTAGATATAGATTCTTATCTGGAAAATAATTATCATAGATTTGATAATAGTTTTCAGAATCTTAATAAATTAATTTGCTATAGTTATGATCTTGTTAGTAATGAATTTATTGATAAGTTAGCAAATATTTGCAAACATATTCAATCATTAAGTATACATAGTAGATGCAATAATAAATTTGAAGATAGTCTGGCTCAACTAATCAATGCACAAAATCAAATAAAGGAATTAGATATTCATTTTCTTTTAAACAATAATTTATCAGATAATCTAAAAAAAGCAATTCTCACACATTCACAATCAATAATTTATTATTCAAGTAATGGATCAGTCAATATGGATTATATATTATTACCAGCATTTAAGAATTTGAAGACTTTAAGATTAACATTACACTATTCTTGTTATGGTGATGGAGTAAAATTGTTGAAAAATATTTCATTTCCAAACATTGAATCTGTGATGTTAAACATTTATGGGCAACCATTTCTATCAGCCCTGTCAGATTTTATTAGCATCAATGGAAAAACTATTAAATATCTGAATGTTAGTGGTGCTCAAAATGATATTGAATTTTTGGGAAAGCTCTTTCAATCAATTACACAATGGTGTAAAAATCTAGTAGAATTATCAATATTTTATAATGATGAAGTAAACCAGGAGTTAACAAAAGTATTTAATAATTGTATTAAATTAGAAAGTATTACATTTAGATTTGTTTTTATGGATACATTAGATGGTGATAAAATACTTTCAGTGCTAAATCAAACATTACCAAAAAAATTAAAGTCAATAATGTTTTATTGTAATTTTTCTACTATCAATGCCCATTCTTTTGATAACCTAACAAATAATTGGAGTGGACCTAAACCTTTTACAATAAAGTTCATTGATTATCAAAAATTAATGGATTAATAAAAAAATTTAGTATTTTTAAACTAAATTATTGTAAATTTTTATTATTTGATTTTAATTGGTTGGTTTGGGAAACAAAAATACTTTACATTAACAATGACTTTACCACTTGATCTTTTAACTGAAATATTTAAATACAATGGTTGTGATTACAAAACATTATATTTTTGCATTCTTGTTGATAAACAATGGCACAATGTTAATATTCCAATTTTATTGAAAAATCCATTTCATTTTAAAAACAGCATCAAAATAATAATTAATTGTTTGCTGGAAGAAGATAAGGATTTCTTAACAAGAAGTAGCATTAAATTGACTTTAAGTTATTGGATAAATCACCATTATACTAGATTTTGTACTAAAATAGGTTAGCAAATTTTATTTTAGATACAGCAGTTATTAGAGAATTTAGTACTTCTAATATGGATGGATTATAAATACTACCACCAGAGCAATATAATAATAATAATAACAACAACAACAAATAATATTTTATCGTCATCATTATTTGTTATTACTATTCACAAGTTTTGCTGGTGATTTTACACACAACAACCACCTTTAATAAAAACATGACCGCATCTTCTTCGCATTTATTTGGTTTTGGGACTGTGGATGCTCATCTATTTGTTCATGAACAAAAGAAAATGTCATCAATTCTATTTGCAATCGTATTAGCAAAAAACGTCATGAAACGGTCTCTGGCGAAGTGGTGTTTCGGTTAAACGAGATAGAATTCAGTTGAATTCAAGATGTTTAATAGATCTTCTGAATCTTTATTTATTCCACCCTTTGATTACGAGTCCTAAAAGAATATCATAGGTTAAATCAGATTTATTCCGCAGGATTACAGAGTTTCTTATAGAATGTGGGAGTTTTTTCTAAAGTTACATTCTCATTTGTTCTAGATAAAAAAAAAATCATACATATATAAATAATTTTCTTTTTTTGTCATCAAAATCTATTTTTCTAAATATATAGGAATAAACACTCTGGTCTTATTAGGAAATTAAATTAATTCATTGTTAACAAAAAATTTTAAATTTATTAATCATTTTACATTCTATCAAAATTAAAACATTCTTTTCAAATAAAAGCGATTAAGTTTTGTTCTTTTTGAGTTATTGTATTTCCAGCTTGACTAAATAACCTTTCACTTAAAGTGGACGTTGTAGGCGCACACAAATATTTGACAAAACAGGAAATTTATTTTAAATGAATTAGAAGTGAACAAACAAACAAATGAATTTATTTGAACAAATTCAGTTACACGAAATATTTGGATTATTAGTCAGTTATTCCATGTGATGTGTTTTTTGATAATGACATTTATAAAAATAGAAAAACGAATATTACGAAAAATACGAAAAAAGCTATATAATAAAAAAACAGTATCAAGGGATGGAAAACAAAAGAAATTAAAGGATTGATTAAAAAAAATTTTTTATATAATAAAAAATGCAAAATAAATAAAACCCCATAATAACAAATACTCTTTTCCTTTCTTCCCAATTCTTCTTCTAATTACTAAATCCCTCTACCCTCTTCCTCCTTCACAATTATCTAAATCAAATTATTATATATGGTACATATACTACACGTGTATTGACAGGTATATTTATATCCTTATTGTCAATTTGTAATGTAACTTAACTTCATATGTGGATGACTAAAAAAACAAATTAAATTAAAAAAACATACATTTCGAAAACAAAAAACCATTAAATCTTAACTTTAATTAAATTGATTTTACCTTTCTTTAATGACAGAAATTTTTGGCTTTGTGTTATTTTTGAAACCTTTTATATAACCTTCTATTTTTAATGGTCTGCGCACTCTTTTAGATAGTTGTTGCGTGTAAACATTCTTAATAGCATTGGGAGTTCTACCATTTCCAATTTTTTTTGCGATATCTCTCCATCTGCTGTGTTCTCTTTCACGTAATCTAATGATTTCTAATTCCTCTTTACGATTAAATGGTTTCTTATTTACTATATTATTATGATGATGTTGTTTGTAAATATTAGTGTATTTCACAGATTTATTGAATTGAGTATGCAAATATAATACTTACTACCAGGTTTAAGATGCCCATCCCATCTAATATATATTATACATATATAAGGTGATTGATTATTTATTTAAAAATTAAAAAATTAAAAAAAAAATTTAAAATTCATAATTTACCTTTCCCTACATTGCTTAGGATTTCGATTTTTTACATAATCAGAAGCATATTTCCAATTTCTTGGACCATTTCTGCGTACATATTCAATCAACATCTTATCTTCCTATATGATTTATTATGGCAGATCATATAATTCACTTGTAATAATAAAATAAATAATGATATATATATAATTACCTCTTTACTCCAACGACCTATATTTTGTTTTTCATTCATTATTAAAATCTCACTGGAGAAATCCAAGAAAAAAAAATAACAAAAAATTTTAAATGATGATGCGCGTGCTATTATTCTATACTAAAAAAAAAAGCAAAAGTCACGTAAAAATTACAGCTATTGTTATTAATATTATTAAAATCTTTTAAGGACAAAAAAAATCTATTTTTTTTCGGGTAAAAACAAAAGATTTCATTCATTAACTATATTAATATACAATTTTTTTAATGAATCATATGATATCAATATTGACTGATTAGCTAAATAAATTTCTCCTATTTCATAAATTTCATTTAAAATTTGGCTCAACAACCTGATGCTTGGGACAAACTTTTCGGTTATTATTATACAAAACATGACAAATAGAATTCGCATGACACGGCTATGTAAAAATAACCTGACATTTTTGGAAAACGAAATATTTTTGCAGCAAAAAAAGAAAAAACGGCTCATTGATCTCATCAATTAAAATCGAGAAGCAAAATGTTGGAATATTTTGATTTCGTTTTCCGTAACTTTTAAACTAATCTTCTTCTGCAACAAAATTTTTTTTGAAACTGCACATCGGGAGAAAATAGGAACTATAATACGGCAAATTCTCTATCTTTAATTTGTTAAAGAACATGAACAAGGATAAGTATACCCTATAAAAAAAAATAATCCATTAAAATGTTGGAATATTTTGATTCCGTTTTCCGTAACTTTTAAACGAATCTTCTTCTGCAACAAAATTTTTTTTGAAACTGCACATCGGGAGAAAATAGGAACTATAATACGGCAAATTCTCTATCTTTAATTTGTTAAAAAACATGAACAAGGATAAGTATACCCTATAAAAAAAAATAATCCATTATTTGAGTTTTAATTCCAAGGAACACTTCGAAATTTCCACGAATTTGTAACAATGGCAAAGTCCATCTTTTCCCCGTAATCCTTCTGTAATTTTCCATGAATATTATATATTTCTGGAGAAAACACGAAATTTTTAAATCACGAATCAATTTTTTTACAGGGATAGGGTAATAACAATGAAAATTATTATTAGAACAAAATAATTTTTTGGGGACGAATTTTTTACCTTTAAAAAAAGAATTTGAATCTTGATTCCTTTGGCGCTTTGTAAATCAAATTGAACATTATTCAATCAATTTTTTCTAACAAGTTTAATTCTCTAATGATGGAGAGAGCAAATTAATATTTTGTAAAAAAAAAATTCTTTGATATTTATTATATCATCAATAAAAATTTTGTCATAATCGATAAGGTTGTCAAATATTAAGTTTAAATTTTCTAATGACGAAAAGCAAGTTGACATTTTGTTGTAGATAAAAAACAAGATATCTAGATAAAATTCGATTTACTTAATAAAAACTTAGCAAAAATAATATTTCATTGTACCGCCATTACTTTCGCCGGGGACTGTAGAATTTGTAACATATGTTGAACTTCACATTACCTTTTTAGTAAAACTTTATTAACAAAAGTTATTAAAAGCACATTGTTCAATAGTTTTAATCCAAGAGAGTATATATACAAAGTTTCGTTTAAGTTTCGTAATTTTACAAGAAGTTTTATTTGTTCAAACCTTAAAATTGTGGTCATGTGATTTTTTTGTCATATGATATGTGGTGTAACGGACTCTACCCTTAAATCTTTTTTTTGTGTTAAAAAATATTTGGTGAAATGCCAACATTTATTTTCTTGTCGCGTACCAAAAATTTTTTGAAGGTATGATAAAGTTTTATATTTTTATTTTACATAATAGCCTAAATATCACGTATAAACACGAGAAAAATCCAGTCTTTACATTATCATCATCATAAATGATTGGTATACTTTTGTCAATAAATAAGAAATGTCGAGGGAAAAAGGCAACATGACTGTGGAGATCTCTCTCTCTCTCACACATATGGAAACCTGCACGAACTTGGACAACCTGGAAACACAAAATAATTCAATATACAACATTTGGAAACTTTTAGATGTTGAAATATATTGTTCAAACAATTATTCTTATATTCCTCGAGAATGTACAAAAAGGCTAAGCTTACTTCGCCCCCCGATGATAATATGATGCAAGTAATTCTCAGGGGTGGGGAGTGGGGCCCTGAGGTTGCATGAAATTGTATCATTGTCAAAGAGACTGCTAAAGCTGGTGTTGGCCATTGATGATTCGTGGAAAATTATTAATTTAAAAAAAAAAGATCTCTCATTATCTTGGCTGATTAATGACCAATTGCCAACACTGGCTAAAACTTTCACTTGTCCAAAACCTTCAAATGTTTGGGAGCCTTCGTCTGTGGGAAAAAGTTCCATGGTCATGCTGGACTCAACTTCAATGTTTGATACAGGAAATTTTATTAAATCTGCACCCATTATAATATTAGTCAGATTTATTTTTTGTGAATAGTCACTAGTAAAGGTCACACCTGATGAACCAACCTACACAACATCTACAACACACATGCACAAAAAGGGGAGACTTCACCATTAAACATTTTCCACTGCCATTATCTTACATGGAAAGAAATCACGGGTTGAAATCAGCAAAAACGTTATGGGTTTTATTTATTCATTTTTAAGGACAATGGGAATTACTACCCTCTCAGATTTTCTCATTTTGTTTGTCAGGACATTATGTGACTTTACCAAAAGTTCATTTCTGCATGGTCTTAGTATTGTTATTACTTGGATGATGTAATTATTTGTTATAACAACATCAAATGCATTGGCATAATCATCATTAATATTGTAATAGACATGATACAATAGTGGTGGCAAAAGATTAAATAAGAGCAAAAAAGTTAAGTAATGTGTTATTTATTTTGTTTCAACTAAGAGAAAATACATAATGATTTTAATTTATATACATAAATATTAAATATTAAGATAAAACACCGAGCAATTACATGGGAGGAAAGATATGAATAAATAATTATAAATTTTAATGGTAGCAATTATTTAAGCATAAAATTAAAAAATTTGGTCTTTTTGAATTTTCCTTTTCTTGAGGTTTGAAGTTTCTGTGAAATTGAGGTGTTATTAATTTTAGAGGCATGTGTACATTAAATTGGAAGAAATTGTATTAACATTGTTGGCATTTAAATAAATAAAATATTAAAGTTCACTGTGAGACATGAATTTCGATCCCATAATACTTATTAAAAACAATGAAATCTACCTGACCATAAATGAATATCAATTACATCAAACCTTTTAAAAATCAAATAACTGACATTGCATTAAGAAAAAATTGAATTAATCATGTTACAAATTGTTAAAAATTGAATGATTAATGCCACCATTAAGAAAAACGCCAAATGATTAAACTAATGATTTCTAAAATAAGATTATTATGAACATAACTTACTAAAATAAGCCTGTCAAAACCTTCTGTCCATCAGTGATATATATTTTATTAATTCAGAAACGTTATATTAATATTAAGCAAACTATACATTTAAACAATACAAATGAATTGATTTATACTGCTAATTCAGATATCTTTTCTGAAAATCATTTGTGAATTAGAATATTTATAATTTTACAAATATTTTTTTTGTGATGATAATAAATATTAATATTAATATATTTGCAGATGTTTTTTATGAACCAACATAATAATTCTTGCAGTTATTTTTTGTGGATAACTACATGATTATCAACAATCCCAAATGAAATAATAATAATAAAATCTGATATCAAATGAATTTCAAAAAGAACAATGATAAAAAATTCATTTATATATTGCAATATATATGTGTATTCATACTTTTGATGGCATTGTTTCTTGTGCTCATATTTCACCTTCTTTTTAAAAAAATGCAAATAACTTTCTAGAGAAAAATTTGCTATGCTGTTTAGTCATACCTCCCTCATATAGGAACACCATTGATCAAGTTAAAATGTGAACAGAGTTACCTCTATTAAAGACCAGTATCATAATGTCACTCACTACAGAGAAGGTTTCAACTTCTATATAATTATAATTCCACTTGGTTGCAAAACATAAATTCAAATAATATTTTTCCAATAAACCCACTAAACATGGCACCTCAAGTTCCCTCTTGCCACCAATACAGCTGTATCTGATCCACCATTAAAGAACTCTCTTTGAATAATTTAGTATCCATGTAAAAAATATAACTCTTTTTTGTTCCTTTAAATAATAAATCATAAAGATTATCTAAATTTTTCATATATGATAATAAACTTGTGAACAATTAAATATTTCAACTTTGTTGGAAATACTGATCAAGAATTCAAACCAGTCCAATTTGATAAAATGTTGCTCAATCAATGTAATAAACCAATAAAATAATTATTTCATGGAAATTATTGAGAAAGATTCTAAATTCAAAATCATTTATTCAATTTGGAATTATTAAAATTTTGGGGTGGGGTGTTTGATTGGCTAATTTGAATTTCACATTTACCAAATAAAAAAATTCGAAATGTCTAATAATAACAGTTTCTTGTCCTTGGAAAAAAATATTACATGCTTATTTAACAACCTTAACATTGATAATCCTGCAACTTTAAAATATATTAATAAGCTAGTAATTGATTTTTCAAATTTGTTAAATAACTCAGATTATTATGATGTAGAAATCAAAGTTGGAGGAGTGGAAGATGTCAGAATTTTTAAAGTTCATTCTACCATTTTAAAGGCGAGATCTTTGTATTTTAAAGCAGCTTTATCCAATAATTGGATTAAAAGGTCTGATCATGGTACCATTTTATTTGAAAAAGAAAATATTTCTCCAAGAGTTTTTGAAATTCTTTTAATGTAAGTTGATTTGATTTATTAATAAAAAACAAATAAAGAATTGATTTATTAAATGAAATTATTTTTTTACATATTATTATTTATATTTTTAAAAGGTATATGTATAATGGAATTCTCGATGTAGGTAGCCTGAATTTAAACCAAATTCTGGAACTTATTGAAGCATGTGATGAGTTAAACTTTAATGAATTAATTGATGATTTACAAAATTATTTAATCAATGAAAAAAGTGAATGGCTCCACCAAAATTTTATTTATGTTCATAAAGTTTCATCAAAACATCAATTTAGTTCACTTCAAGATTTTTGTGATAAATTGATTTGTGAAAATCCAGGTTCAATTTTAAAATCCAATGACATTGCAACAATTGAAAAACCAATGCTTGTATCAATATTGGAAAGTGATAATTTGAAATTAGATGAGATTGATATTTGGAGCCATGTCATCCAATGGGGAATAGGACAATGTGGGTTATTAAAAAAAGATATTTCAACATGGAATAAAAATGATTTTGACAAGATAAAAAGTAGATTAAAAGACATTATTTTATTAATAAGATTCAGTGAAATATCCAAAGAAAATTTCTATGAGAAAGTCAAACCTTATAAAAAGATTTTTGATAAAAATATATATGAAGAAATTCTTCAATATTATTTTACAGATAAATGGCAACCTAGATTTCTTCATTATAAAGGTCCAAGAACAAGAAATAAGAAAGGAAAATTATTAAACTCAAAAATGAAATTACTGGTTTCTGGTTGGATTGATCAAAATAATGACTATTATGATGAAAATGACATTCCATATGATTTTGAATTAATTCTTCAAAGCACTCAAGATGGATATTCAAGATCAGTTTTTGAACAAGAATGTTATAACATCAAACAAACTATAGTATTTATGAAATTCAAAGAAACAGGTGAATTAGTGGGTGGCTATAACCCAGTTTATTGGAATAGAAAAGAAAAATCTTTAAATGAAGCATATTGGATTGAAACTGATCAAAGTTTTATTTTTAAAATTAATGAGAATCAACTTGATAATTCTATATTAAGTAGAGTCAAATATCCTAAGCATGCAATATTTCATAATCATCAAACTATTAATTGGACTTTTGATAATATAGGTTTTCATGAAATTATCATCAACTTTGAAGATTTACGATTATACAACAGTATTAATAATGAACCTTATTGTATTTATCAATTTAATAATAATTTTTATCAGAATAATTTAAATCTTGAGAATGATAGGAAAAAAGTAAAAGCTTATTTGTTAGAAGAATATGAAGTATACAAATTAGCAAAGAAAAATTAGCAATTTTAAATTGGGATTATGTATAAAAACTTTTTTTGTGTAGAATTCATAGAAGTAACTTTTTCATGAATGAGCAACTGTGGATATCAAATATTATAAATCTAAATTTATATCTAATATGTGATATTAGTAATTTTATAATGTCTGTTTTATTTTTATGGCTTCTTGTTTTATAGCTTAAAAAGGGTATAATTGAAAAAAAAATTTTTTTATTATATGTAATTTTGAGAATCAAAGTTCCAGGAAGTGTATATTTACCACGATAATTATCTCAATTTTTTTATAACCCATAACACAATTATATATATCTTCAAATGATTTTTTATTAAAATAAAATGATACTCTACATATATAAAATTAGGATATTAATATGATGAAAAAATACATGTATAAATAACACTTTTAAACATGTGAAAAGTATAAGGCAATTATCACATGATCGGAAATTTGCCCTGTAGTATATCTTCTTCAAGAATCTTTGTCCTTTAAAACATCATAAATCGATGGATATATGAAAAATATCGAACATAAACTGGGCATCAAATATGGAAATAAAATAAATAAGGCAGGGATGGAATATACTGTGAAAAGTGGAAAAGGATATCATCAATAAGAAAGATGGAAGCAGAAGATAAGATGCGGATCAATATACTCGAAACAAGACTTTTTAATTATCTTATTTACTGTCATCGTAATACTAAAGTTAGTAAAGTATAAATATATTGTATAAATAGTGTCGAGAGAAAGTTTTTTTAGCAAACATGTCATCATCAAGTTGTATATTAGATAAATTTAATGGTATTATGATGTCAAATAATGGTGGTTATATAAAAATAACTACTGTAATTACGTGTTCGGAAAAAAAATTTTTTTTGTGCGATTTAAAAATTTTTTTTTCATTTTGTATTAATTATTTATTGATTTATAATGCCATTTTTTATGGAGAAAATAATAATTATTATATAAATTCTTTAATTTGCAAGACTACAAGGAGAAGAGATATCTTAATATGAATAGTTCGAAAAATATAAATTATTAATTACACAATTAACTTTTCTCTCTATAATGAGCATCTTATCAAGAGCTCCTACAACTCTTGTAATTTTTGTCCCACCATATTAATATACAATGCAAAGGGTATTGAAAAAAAAAAAATAAAAAAGGTTAATATTAATCATCTTTATATTGTATTAGTATATATATGTTAATATAAATGAATGCATTAAAATTACTATTTTGGCAACAATAATAAGATCATCAACAGTACGAAGTCCAAGGTCCGCAAAGTCCGCATACCACGTTATACATTTTTCTGCAGATAGTTTCCAAGTTTGTACTAGTTGTAGTCGATTATTATTATATATATTAAATAAAAAAAAGTGTGGAAAAATTTCAAATGATAAAAAATGACTAAAAATGTTATTTCAGTGATTAGGTCAACAGCAACTGATGTTGGAAGTAAGTTAAGTGATTTACCTCCAGTAACAAATGCTACACCTGATATATTAAAAGGAATTGGAGAAGTGAGTGAAGGTGGGTTAGAACAAAAAAAATTTATTTTTAAAAAAAAAAAAAAAAAAGGATTTCAATTATTAATCTTTTTTTTAATCATACATATATATATATATATACAAAATCAGCATTTGCACCTTATGTAAGTTTAATAGGCTCAATAGCTGCTATCACAGATGAAACATTAAAAATTCTTGAAAATGTAGAGTATAATAAAAAAACCTGTAAAAATTTAATTGACAGAATACAGGCAGTAGAATTTAGTGTTAAAATATTAATAAGAAGGAGAGAAGAACACGAAGAAAATTTTTGTAATGCTGTATACTATAGATCATTTTATCGATTAGTTCAAAATTTGGAAGATATTAAAAATTTTGTACGCGATGTGTCAAAACTTAATGGATTACGAAAATTTACAGGTTCTAAATCTGTCAAAAAAAAATTTAAAGAGTTAATCAAAGAATATGATCAAGCTATCATTGATTTACATTTTACTAAATGCGTTGCTGATGAAGAACAACGCTGTAAAGATATCACTGATTTAGATGATGATATTGAAGAAATGGCACAGGTAAATAAGTAAACAAATAAAATTAATTATTAATGAATAACAAATAAAGTATATGTAATTAATGTATTTTACTAAATTATTGTTTATAATTGTTTTTAATGATAGTTTTTAAATGTTATAGGAGTAGGTGTTACTGACAATAACAAACAAATCAATAAGGTTCTAGAACAAATTTCTTTAATGAGACAAGATTTATTAAATAAACTTGATGAAAATGCAAATGCTAGGCATACTGAACAGAGGAGTAATGATGAAGAGGGTGTTTATGTACCAGAGATTGTAGACATTGAATTAATAGACCCCCCAATCGAGTGTAGAGAAAGTAAGCCTTCTAGAGGAAAAGTTTTCATGAAATATTGTAAGTTAGGATATTATGTTGCATGTAAAAGTGATGCATCTTTAGAGGGAAAGCCAAAGGGTTTTCCACGTAATATAGCATTCTTAAAGAAAATTGGTAATGAATGTAACTATATTATAAAATTTTATGGAATCTCGACAATAAACAGAAATAAAGTAATGGTGATGGAATGGGCAAAGCATGGAAATTTGAAAGATTTTTATTTAAATACAGAAATAAAATGGGCAAAAAAATTGGAAATTGTTCTTGATATTTGTCGAGGAATAACTTTTTTACATTCGGTTGATTATCTTCATCATGACATTAGATGTGAAAATATTTTGGTAATTTATAAGATTTTTAATGACGAAAATTTTATTTACTTTGTCATTAATAAAATGCTAATTTAATAAACAGCTGGGTGATCGCTACATTCCTAAGATTACAAACTTTAAGCTATCTCGTAAAAATGATCAGGTTTTATTAAGTGTCGAATTGAATGATCAATTATTGTTAAATATTGTAAATTGGATGGCACCGGAAAAATTGAAGAATCAAAAAATTCCATATACAAAACAATGTGAAATTTTCAGGTAATTAATTGTGTAATAATGATAATGAGGGTAATAATAATAATAATAATAATAATAATAATAATAATAATAAAATGTGTTTATATATTTTATATTGTAGCTTTGGAATGCTTATGTGGGAATTAGCATTTGAAAAAATACCATACGAAGGATGGACTATAGATCGAATAAAAAAACATGTAACAAACAATGGTAGAGAAATAGTCAATTTTAAATCACAAAAACCTGAAGTTAAAAAGTCACAAGATGAATACTTGAGAATTATGAAAGAAGGTGATTAAAAAAAAAAAAAATATATATATATATATATATATCAAAATTGATATTTTGTGTGAAAAAACATATAAATAATATATATTTATATATAGCTTGGAGTGGAGATCCTTTTTGTAGACCAACATTTCAAAAAATCGTGCTCGACTTGAATACTCTTATTACAATAGAAAAAACTAAAGTTGGTGATTCACCATGGTTAAGGCCTCGTGATGCATCCGAGATAAAACTTAAAAATGAATCTTCAACCAGTAACGCAGATCAAATTAATCCAGATTCAAAGTCTCCGTCATCGTCACTAAGATCACCAATTCTATCAAAAAAGGTAAAAGGAAAATTACCAGAAACAAAAAACCTTTCAAAAATCGTAAATATACCCACAATGCTAGAAGGTATTTCTAAACATAAAAAAGGTCAGAAAGATGAAGCTTTAAAAATCTTTATTGAGCATGTAAAACTTAATAACAAAACAGCAAAATATTGGTATGGATATTATTTGTTGGAAGGCTATGCAGGCTTGGAAAAAGACAAGAAAAAAGCAACTGAATATTTTCGAGAAGCAGCTGAAGAAGGTGTACCAGATGCACAACTTCGATACGCACATATATTGCTTGATGACTCGAAGGCAAATGGTCCAGATCCTAATACATTAAATCAAATAATACATTATTTCACTTTGGCAGCTGACAATAAGAATTCATCAGCACGATATTTATTAGGATCATTATATTATTATGGTAAACATGGAGTAATACAAGACAAGGAAAAGGGTTTATATTATATAAAATTGGCAGCCATTCAAAAACATAGTAAAGCCGTGGCAGTTTTAAAGGAATTACGCATAGATTCTTATCAATGAATTAGAAGATTTATTTATATATTTCAAATTAGAATTTTTTTTAATTAGTTATTTATTTGTGTATTTCTTATTATATATTTATTGTATTTGAACAAGAATTTCCGCATGAGAATGAATGAATTAAATCAAGTAATGTCGTTATTTAATTTATTCTGTGCATATCAGCTGATTTGGTTTTTTGGCCCTTTTTTCAAATCTTATATCTTACTGTGTCTCGGCGTTAAACGCGAGTATTTTTAAATGATAATTAACTTGGTCCGCTAAAAAAAATTATTTTACTATCCAACAACCCGTCAAACCAATGAATGGCCCCCACCTCAAAACCAACGGGTTTTTGCCAGTATATTCATAACGTTATTATTATGATCATACCGTGCTGAATTTAATATTGAAAAAGATTTAACAAAAAAAATCATTTACGTAAGATTAATGCCCCCCTCGGGGACATAATAAAAAATCCCCATAAATTTTCAAAGTAATATTTTTTCAAACTTTATTTTTGTATAAATAAATAAATAAAACATCTTTTTAACCTATAATAATGAATATAGATCAATTATTGAATAAAGAACCAAACGAAGATTCAATTTATTCTTTATCTACTAAATCAAAAGTTGAAAAAACCACTCCTTCGTCTTCTTCTTCTTCTACCGTTAATAACAACAGTTATACAATTACTCAATTTAATAATAGTAATAATAATTATAACAACGGCTTGATTTCTTCATCCTTTCCCTCTTACTCCCCTTCCCTCTCCTCCTCCTTCTCCACACCTATATTTTCTACTCGCACTACCCCTATATTTATTAATGCAAATGACAAATTAACAACATTCATCACTCAACATACTACCAACTATAAAAACAAATCCATTTTGAATAACGTTGAACCAACTGAAGAAGATATGGATAATATATCTGTTAAATCACAAAAATTTCACGAATCAGGAAATGGTTTGGTAGTGGTAATATCACACACGCACACATATATGTATATGTATATGTACACGTATACACATCAACATATATTTACTATTTAATTATTTTTCTTTTTTTTTTTTTTTAATAAAGAAATCAAAATCTAATAAAAATCGTTCAAACCAAAATAAAACAATCACTCAAGAACACGATATTTCAAGCACTACTACACCTATAAATTATACGGATGAACATCCCAGAACAAAATCAAGGATAAGTTCCAAGAATATGATTAATTCAACGAATACTATTATTAATTTTTCGCCCACTGTAACTAATGCAAAAAAGAAAATAGATAATAACAGCAATAGAACTAAAAAATTCGCATCAACTAAAGTTAATTTAAACAATGCATCTTTAACATCATCTAAAATATCACCGTCACCATTCAAAACTCACGCATCTAAAGCATCAATAATCACTTCATCATCATCATCCAAAAAAGACACATCAAAAATATCTTCATCATCACCGTCATCATCTAATTTAACATCTAGCACATCTGATATTAACTCAATAGATCTCATCCAAGAAGTTGATTATAAACCAATTGCGATATTTGAAAAATCAAACTCTAGTATTATTAATAATAATACTGATATTAATTTAAAACAATTTATAACTTCTAGCACAACAACAAAAACTCAAACTAATCGAGAAAATAAACCATTAAGCAAATCTAATACAAGATCAAGAAAGGTTCAAGCAAAAAAATCTGAAATCTTTAATGAACCTGGATATGATAATGATTTAAATAATAATACTTCTGATTCATCAACTACTCTTGACAGTATGGATGTTGACAATTCAAGTGACACTACCGCAGATTCTGTATCAGATTCTGATAGTGGGTCTGATAGTCAAAATGAATTATTAAACAATGAAAAAGTAGCAATTGAGTATATGGTAGAATTACGTCAGCGTACCAGGCGTGTTATTGCTGAATATGATAAACGTCAAAAGGTATATAAATAACAAATTAATTGATTATTATTTACATAACTTTTATTTATTAATTATTATTTTGTTAAGATAAAAACTGAAAGACTACGTGAACAATACATGGCAAGACTTGCCAGTCGGGGGAATAGAAAAAACAAAATTTCTGGCCATATTAATAAAAAGGACACTAAACTAAAACCTAAAAATAAAAGAGGTAATCGTAAATCTATACGTAAGCCTGAAGTCGAAGGTAAATCTGAAAAGAGAAAACCATCACGTAAATCAAGAGCTGCTGTTTCTATGGAAGTTGAGGTACACAATCTAAAATGCACACACGCACACACATATAAAGTAATTAGTTAAAATCAGGATCATATTTATCAATTGTTAAATATTATCATTATCATTTATAATATGTAGGAAGAAGATGAGGGACGAAAGCATGTTACATCCGAGTTGAAAATTCAAAAAAAAGAAGCTCAAGATTTAGAAGAAAGACGTAGAATTTGGAAAGATATAGCTCGAAATGCAATTCCAAAAGTTATTATTATTCTTTGATTACCCGATAGTTTTGATTTTATATAGACATATTAGAGGAGATGTCATTTTAATGAAATCATTTAAATTTTCAAATAGGTTCACAAAATTGTTCAACAATCTATCAATTCAAAACTTAGTAATTCAAGAAAAGTCTCAAACTGTATAAGAAAAGAAGCAATAAAAGGTGTTCAAAAGGCCTCAAAATCTCATAAAGACATCCAGGCTAAATGCAAACAAGCTACGAGACAGGTATTTTACTTTTAAAAATTTAATTTGTAAACAAGATACAAATTAAATGAATATATTAACCATGACGACCTTTTTATAGGCATTGAGTTATTGGAAGAAACATGAAAAAAATGAACGTGAGGATCGCAAAAAAGCCGAAAAGGAAGCAATGGAGATTTTACGTGCTGAAGAGGAATTGCGTGAAGCTAGAAGGCAAGCACGTAAACTTAACTTCCTTATAACTCAAACTGAACTGTATAGCCATTTTGTCGGTAAAAAGATTGGAAGTAAGTTTACCTTTTTTCAGACTATTTTTGTATTAAAATAAAAAAACTTAATATATTTTCTATTTTTGAAGCTCATTCAGCAGATGAAACAACTGACACTACAACAGCTTCTGCATCAGAATCATTTTCAAATGTCATCTCTACAGATAATCTAACAATCGGTGATATTGATATGGACACTATTAATAATGAACCATTCGAATCATTCAAAGATATTAATTTTGATCAAGAAGATGAATCTTCGTTGAAAAAGAAGGCTTTTCTAAGTGCTCAAAATGCTCTTGCTCAAGTTAGACAACATACACAAAATTTTGATAATAATAGAATAGCAAACAAATCTACTGCTGATATGACTGTATCAAATGCAGATCGTAAGTAAATTATATTAGTATCACGTGTTGTGTTTGTTTATTAACTTTTACTTCGATTTTTAATTCATTCGACTAATTAACTTATAATAATTAAATAAATAAATAGTTGATAATATGAACTTCCAAAATCCTTCTAGTATGCCACCAATGACTGAAATTAAACAGCCTTTTTTACTTCAGAATTGTACATTAAAAGAATATCAAATAAAAGGATTGAATTGGTTGGCTAATCTATACGAACAAGGTATTAATGGAATATTAGCTGATGAAATGGGTCTTGGCAAAACTGTCCAATCTATTTCATTGATGGCTCATTTAGCAGAATCCCAGAACATATGGGGTCCATTCTTAGTGATTGCTCCTTCATCAACTCTACACAACTGGCAACAAGAAATTGCTAGGTTTGTTCCTAGCTTTAAGATACTACCATACTGGGGAAATCCTAGCACTCGTAAAGTGTTAAGAAAAACATTAAATAAGAAAAATATCATGTTTAACAAAGATGCGCCTTTCCATGTTGTCATCACTAGTTATCAATTAGTAGTGCAGGACAAATCTTATTTTGAGAGAACGAAATGGCAATACATGATTTTAGATGAGGCACAGGCTATCAAAAGTAGCACAAGTGCTCGTTGGAAAGCACTCCTTGGTTTCCAATGTCGAAATCGTCTTTTATTAACTGGTACTCCAATACAAAACAGTATGCAAGAATTATGGGCTTTGTTACATTTCATAATGCCAACTCTTTTTGATTCTCATCAAGAATTTAGTGAATGGTTCTCTAAGGATATTGAAAGTCATGCTGAAAACAAAGGATCATTAAATGAATTCCAACTTAAAAGATTACACATGATTCTAAAACCATTCATGTTACGTCGTGTTAAGAAAACTGTCCAGAATGAACTTGGTGAAAAGATTGAGAAAGAGGTCTTTTGTACTTTAACCGCTAGACAAAGAATGTTATATCGTGGTCTTAGAGAAAAAATATCTGTATCTGAACTGTTAGAACGTGCAGCCACACTGTCTGAAAATGATTCTAGCGTTGATAGCTTAATGAACTTGGTCATGCAATTCAGAAAAGTTTGTAATCATCCTGAATTATTTGAACGAGCAGATGTCACATCTCCATATTCCTTTTGTGCTTATAGCAACACCTGGATGATATCTCGAGAAGGTGACAAGTTATACCTGCCTTACTCAACAAAAAATTTAATATCATATCATCTTCCAAAGTTGGTTTATCGGGACGGTGGAATATTAGAAGTACCTCGTGAAAATTCAAATGCTGGATCTCGTAAATTTGTTCTAGATCACTTGATGAATATCTGGTCTCCTGATTATATCCATAAATCGATTAATGATTACGAAAATGGTAATAAATATTTGCATTACACTATATTTGTTTATTATAAAATACTAATATTGTTATGTTAATCTCGCATTGTTGTGTATATTAGATACATTTGGATTTTTAAGATTTATTGATACAAGCCCATCAGAAGCATCTTCTACATTCCGTAGTAATATTGTTCAAAAATGGTTAATGCACCTTTTAAATTATAAATCTAGAGGAGTGCATATAACAGATGAAAATCCTGAAAGGTTAGTTTTAATAACCGGCTTTGAATTTTGATGATTGATCGATTGACATTAAAAATAATGAATTGATGAATAAATTAAATTTTTTTGATATATACAGTTATCCAATTGCTGCGATTAATAATCGCGCAAAATTTTTGATTTCTGAAACGTCTTTTGCCCTTTCGTTGACGAATGTTGAGAACTCTGATATTTTAACTGGATTAACAACTATATTTGATCATACTACAAAATATGAAATTCAAATGCAAAATCCATGCTACATGCCAAAAGTAAGATTTATAATAATTATAAAATATAAAATATGAAATCAATTCTCATTATTTATTTACTATGAATGTATTTATATAGGTTATTGCTCCTCCTATCCGAATAGTATGCTATGATAAATGTTTTCATAACGATCAAAACAGTATTCTTTTTGAACCAGAAATCAGATCCTCGTTTACTGGCACAATAGAATTGTTGCCTAAAAAAGAAAGAAAAAGTAATATTGTTGGAAAATATTTAGAACAATCAGGTGGTAAAGGTATCCATGGTCGGACGTATTTCAAAGGTCAAGGCTTCTCATATATGCAAGTTCCGGGTACGAATGAATAAATTAATGAATGATATATGTTTATTAAAATATTAAAAATATTTTAAAAAAAAATTTATGAAAAATAATCTAATAAAAAAATTTTATTATTATTTCAGCTATGAAAAAACTTATTATGGATTCTGGGAAATTAGCAACACTTGACAAACTTTTAGAAGAATTGAAAGCTGGTGGACATCGTGTATTAATCTATTTTCAGATGACTCGCATGATTGACTTGATGGAAGAATACCTGGCATATCGTCAATACAAGTATTTAAGACTTGATGGTTCTTCCAAAATATCTGATCGTCGTGATATGGTTGAAGATTGGCAGTCAAAGTAAAAATTGTTTAATATTTAAATAATGATTTTTTATTATATTTATTCATATTTATAATAAATATGTTAGATCCGATATATTTATTTTCTTGTTGAGTACTCGAGCGGGTGGACTAGGTATTAATTTGACTGCTGCTGACACTGTAATTTTCTACGATAGTGATTGGAATCCTACAGTTGATCAACAGGTAATGACATGCATAATATTTATAGTTATTATTATTATTAAAAAATTTATTAATTTATATATTTATTATTATTATTATATTTATTATTAATATAGGCTATGGATCGTGCACATCGACTTGGTCAAACGAAACAAGTCACAGTATATAGACTTATTACTAAAGGCACAATTGAAGAAAGAATATTACAGCGTGCAAAACAAAAAGATGAGGTATTTATTAACTTGTAGAATTTTTTCAATCACAACACGTACATACAATATATAATTCATTCGTTCGTTCTTTTTATTTTATGAAAAATAGATCCAACGGGTAGTAATTTCTGGTGGTGAGTTTAAACAAGTTGATTTTAAACCACGAGAAATTGTGTCTTTGTTACTTGATGATGATGAACTCGACACCAAATTTCGAGAACAACAATTGAAGAGAAGGGCTGAAGATACCACTGCTACCAAAAAGGGACGTTTGATCAAACGCCGTAAAAAGGAAGCAGTGGGTGGTGGTGAATCAAATGAGGCCATGTCACCACAACCTATAAAAAGAAAATCAGAAGAGCCTGATGCTGCTACTACTGATGCTGCTACTACTGCTACTATCACTACAAAGAAAGATCATGAACCAAAGCTTTCTAAAGACTAAAGGTATACTTTTGTTGGTTAGCGGGTGAGGAAAGTTGAAGAGTATAATCACTATTTAATGGTGACTTCAATCCAACTTTTTGTATAAAAATAATAATAATATATATATATAGAGATGATAAAAAATTATAATACATTATGATTATGAATTATGAAATGGTTTTTTTTCTTTTATAAAAACAAATGAATTTAAATATTTTTTTTTATATATTTTATATTTTTTTTTATTTAATATTTAATCAAAAAAAATAAAATTTCACAAAATATTAAACAATTTATCGTATAATCTACATTATATAAATGAGATTTTAAAGACTGAAAATAAAAACCACTTTTTTCGATGTGATTATTATAATATGCTATAATTATCACCTATTACTACTATTACTACTACTATCATTACTGCCAACTATTATTATATATTATTTATTCTTTAAGTGAAAACACTTCTGGAGGTCATTATTGTTTCTACCCAACTCAAGTCTTCATAGCCATCGGTCATTTTTAGATCTGCTTCCTCATAACTTAATTCATCTGATTTCATAATTAATCTAATGATAGTTTCAGGTACCAATACATCATTTACAAATCTGTGCTGCAAGTCAGGTGAATAAATGAAAAAAGGAGAATTTAATCTATCATCTAGTAACGATATTGGTTGTGATATTACAGCGGTTGGTGCTGGCAGTGATTTTAAAGAGTCCGAAGGGTCAGAGGATGAAATAGATTGTACTGATGATAATGACGATGTAGATGATGATTTGAATGATGGTGATAAATTTTCTTTTTGTAGTTGTGGTAGTTTACATTGTGTGGAATCAGATAAGGAGGATGAGAATGATGATGAAAATTCATTTTTGCATTTATTATAATTTGGAAGCGAACTTGATGGCGGCGGTAATGAAGGTGATGATGTTTTATGGTTTTTTTTATTAAGATTATTAGAGGGTGAAATTGACGATGATAATAACGGTGACGGTGATGACTTGTTACGTTTATTAGGACTTGTTGATGAGAATGGTGACGATGACGGTGATGGCGATGGTGACGGTGATGATGACGGTGATGATGACGGTGATGGTGATGATTGTTTACGTTTACGAGGATTATGAGATGAACCTGATGATGACGATGGAGAAGATTGCTTAATGTCATGAGTATTTGGAAATGGAACAGATGATAACAATGACAATGGTAGCGATGATTGCTCTTGTTGGCTCTGTTGTTGGTGAGTTAGTTCTTGTTGTTGTTGAGGAAGCGATTGTACAGTCTTGTCTTTTTCTTGTTGCTGTTGTTGTTGTTGTTGCTGTTTGATAACTGTTTCCATTGATTTTATCAATTCAGATGGTTCTATAAAATCAGTTTTATCTATAGCCTTTGCAACTTCAGGTACATACATGTGTCTTAATACTTTTAGGATTAAACCAAACTCAGAATTATTAAAAGGTCCCTGAGAGACATGAGAAGCCAATAACCGACGCCTTTTCCCACCTTCAACAAAATTTTGATATCTCCAAGCTGATTTTTCATCACCCAATAAAACTTTGGATAATATTGGCTCAAGTTCTTGAATTGCAGTGATTAGTTCTGGATCTCTATAATCTGGATTCTCATTTTCCATTACGATATCTCCCACCTATTTATTTTTTAAAAAAATATATATATGTAAGTATAAATGTGTAAATATAAATCTTTTTTAAAAAAAACCAAATAAGATTTTTTAGAGAACCGGACAAGTTTTAAATCCTTTTTGCCATAGAGTGTAAAATTTTTTCCTTTTAAGCGTTCTTTTGGATCCATCACAGAAAACTACATGATATTTATTAGGCTATATTAAGTAAAATTTTAATTAATACTATATTATTGTGAAAGTAAACAACAACATTAATTATAATTACAATAGTGTGATTGATGATACACCTTTTCATAGCCTACAATTTTTGCTGGATAAAATTTCCACATACTATAAGCCAATACTAACTCACCGGGAATGTTAAGAGCTTCATCCTTATCAGCATCGAAATCTGATAAATAGTCAGATTCATATTGGTCATTGTCTAGGTGAAGTGCTGTTAGCCCTGTTAAGTCAGATATTTTCTCTTTCTTTTCATTAAATTTATTGCCTTGTTGTTCCATTGGCGACGCAAGGGCCATCTTGAACAATTCATCCTCACTTGGAAATTCTTCATCCTCAAACTGCTCAAGCACAAGAGATGGATCCTTACTATCAGTATTATCATTTTTCTTGTTATCATCAGCATCGCTATCCTTTTCACTATTGGTGGAGGTACTATTATTACTATTATTATTACTACTACTGTTGTAGTCGCTGTTATTGTTATCATTATTATCTTTGGGTTTTTTTTTTCGCGGCAAATGCTGTTTACCCTTTTTATTTTGTTGTTGTTGTGACTTTGGCGTTGTCGGTCGAATCGAGTTTGTTCGCTTAGAATTCATTGATTTTCTGTTGTTGGCGCGCGTCTTGTTTTAAAAATTAAAAGTATAAAAAAACAACTATACTAAATAAACTATTTTTTTTTTTTTTTTGAATTCTTTTAGTAGTAGTAGTACAGTGCACTACGGAAAAATCGCCAAATACAGGTGATATTAATATTATGACAAACATAACTATATAGATTATCTATAACTACTTTTGATCACCAACATCATTTAAAAAACATTGAAATCGCAATTTATTAAATTTATATTTTCCATTTTATTTTGACCAGATATAAAAGCTTAAAAAAATTTATGTCATTGGATATACACTTGAAAGTCACTGACCTTTTAATTCACCCATATGTTTTTTAATTATGTAAAAGTTTCCAGGTCCTATAACGTCTTGAAATCAAATTAATGCAAAGTCGCGAAACGTAAAAAGTTTTATTGATTATTGGACGCGAATGTACGTATTATACATATTTAAAAAAAGAATCTTCATTGTAGCCTATATATTGTTTATTAATTTAAAAATGAACAATTTTCTTTGATAATTAAAAGATAAATAACTTTTACAATAAACATAAGGCCATAAATTTTACATAAGCAAAATTAATATTATATATTTTATTGAATAAATTTATTCTTTTATGTTGAAGTTAATGGTGAACTTGCCCTTATCGTGGCCTCCTTTTTATTGATTAAGTCTTGAAATACAATTCTTAATTTGGGTAAGCTTTGGTATACTTTCTTTTCAACTTCACCATCATCACTGGAAGATGATTTTCAAAATGTAATATAGTTAAATAATACGTAACATTAATACTTTTGGTTTGGATGACGATGAAGTTAGGCAGGATGGGATTTCTCTTTTCGTTTATGATGCAAACAACAGTCTTATAGATAGCAGACAAGTAGCAAGAAAAATAGGAAATTCTATTATATTGTAAGTTATATAATTTCTCACAATGAAGCAGTTATTGTTTTTGTTGTTTTGCATTATATATCTTATTTTTGTCATTTTATATAATCATAGGTCAATTCAGAGAGAAATCAAACTGATCAATGATTAGATATCAATAGCAATAGTATTCCTTGATAATATTTTTGCAAATCCAGGGCATTCACATTAACAAATAGTAGAAGTAATACAATTAAGAATTGAATACGTTAGTGCTAGTATTTAAAGCCAATAATTTATATATATTTAATAAAATATTGTGTGTTTTTGAGCATTAAGGTTTTATGATTCATATAGCTAGTCTTATGCATTTAATGAATGTAAATTGCATATTATTGTTGTTATTAAAATTAATCCCACTGAAATGTGGCTTTATTGTAATGTATAATATGCATCTAATCATTAGAATTGCATCTTGAAATCTCCATAGATCTACAATAAAGCTAACCAGAACATCACCAGGGGAATCATTAAAAAGCAATGTGGTGGGTATAGCCATTTGATATTCTTGAAGATTGGCATCATCACAAGGAACCCCTCCAAAACCGACACCAGTAATGCCTGTAACATGTACAGTATTTAGAAGATATGTTTATGGATAATGGTGAAGAGATGCTGTTCCGAAAGACTTAGCAATTACAGGTATTGTCAGATTTGGATTGTTATGCAAGTAAAGCAGCTCAAGAAGTGCAACAAAACCATTCTGACAAGGTGGGAATAACTTGATGGCTAAATAAATTTGAATAGTGGTCTGTTGAGAAAAATATGTTGTTGTCAATTCATGCAAACTCCTTAAACTCTCCATACTGGCAATTTCCACCACCAGAGTTGGATATGGTTTTCTGGATGAATTGACTGCTTGTGATGGTTGAGGTTGTCAACAATTCCTTGGTTGAACACTTATATCAGGACGATTGATGCTTCTTGTACCCACAATAACATCCAATTCACCAATGACTCGCAACTGATCACTCCAGTTATCCATAATAGAAATTAACTTTGCTTGTGTCAATCTGTGAGGGTTGAGAGGCACTTTGTAGGCTTCAATTTTTCCGTTGATTAAACAGTATTTAACAGAAACCCTTGATTCACTTTCACAAAACTCAAGGTAAGTTCTACGTGATACTTCTCTGTCAATAATAATTCCCTTTCGTTTCACTTCCTCAATTCCTTCTTGTTGTCTGATAGCAAGAAGCTTGTGTCTTGCTGAATCAATGCTGAGAACCATTTAGAGTATAATTCATTCTGCAATAATGAAGACATAATAATTGAATGATGTGAACAATGTTATTTACAAAAAAAAAATTCAATTGCACTGATAGTCATTTGTATATGAAACATTAGGGGTGTTCAAAGTTGTTCCGTACCTGTTCCTGTTCCTTGTTGTACAATACCTTATTAGGTAATAAAAATAAGGATCAACTTTGAGCAGAAATTTCCTAGTTGTTTCCATAACTTCTATATTTGGGACTGAACTACACGTGTTTTTTTAAAAAATATGTCAACTTGTGAAAGAATTGAAGAGGCATTGTTTCTAAATCTATTCCAAGAAATAACTGAATTGGATG